TATATTTTAATTTTCAATTTTAAAATTAAATGGATCAAATTTTTAAAACTAGATCGATCAAAAATTATCTCGGTTCTTTCATTATCATCTCTAATTCCACGTATTTAGAAACTAATGAGGACATATGTTTTAAAATAAATTAAACAACTTGAGGTGATTACAAGGTGAGATCTATTCAAAATCTTTCTTAAAGATTGACAATATATATTTCTCACAGATGTAACTGTTCGAACTCATGACCTTTAGAGAAAACAACATCTACTTTACGCATTGAACGCACCTGATAGGTTCTTAAAAGAAAAAGTTTATATAGGGAAATAGGAAGAGGTAAATAGAGATTAGCAAGATCATGAGTAATTTTATGTTGGGTAGTAATATTAAAATATTAGCGTGATCATCGGCAATATAATTTAACCCTTTTCTATTACTGTCATTATATGCCGAAAACCATCCTTTTGCAGCATATCAGCAATATAATTATGCACTCAGTTGATATGGTGAACAGGGGATTATACGTTAATGCAAATAAAATTCATAATTTACAAAGATATCACCGGTTGTTTTTATTTTGAATAATTTAAAATAATTAGAATGTAATATCTGTTTAAAATCTTTTTAAATTATTAAAAATACACATACCCTATGCAGCTGCTCAAACCCAAGGTTTTAAGGGAGAATAACACTTCCTTCAACTATTAAAGTCACTTAATAGATTCAAAGATATCACAATTTTATGATCCTTGAGCAATTACATGGAATATAGTTGATAATTATGTGTAGAATTATACACAGAGACTTATAAGGTATTATTGCTTTAATTTACTACAATTTTATATTTTTATTCACAAAAATATATCTCGCAGGTTAAAAATGACATGGACATTTAGGTAAGGTTCATAACTCATTTATAGGACTATGACATCTTCCCTCAATCACACATCACTAATACTTGTCTAAAAGGCCATCTCTGATATTAGATAGTATTACGGTTCACATCAACCTGTAAGATATTATCTATTTCAATCCATTGAACCTCTTAGTAGTTTTGTCCATAAAATTTACCACATATAGACCGACTCTAATATATAACTAGTATAAAATTCATGACTCTTCTCTAAAATCATAACCACCAGCTTAAAATATATTCTATCATTCACTGAAATTAAAATTCTTAGTGACTAACAAAACCCCAAATGATATATATATATTGTTAGGATCCAATTATACTGTGTAAAATTCTTTTAATTTTACACAAATTTAAGATCATTAAACCCACTTACACAGTCTAAAATGATATGTATAGGATCCACTTAATTTAAGATCATTAAGGTGTATTGTTGTGGTATACATGAGAAGGGGATGGACCATAAACAGATTCCTTTCTCATCACGAACAGGGGACCCAAATTCCATTTAATTTTCATTGTCATGCTCAACTTGATCATAAATGTCAACTCTAACTCATCCAACTAGAATCCAAATTTACCCTAAGCTAAAACTACTCGTAACCCCAAATGACTTGAACCTAAAACTAATCCGTACTTCCTATTACCACTAATAGTAATAATAGACAAAAAGGATGAAACAAAAGCATATATGGATTTACAACTTGAGTGATACGTTACACGTTATCGAATTATGACCATCATAAGGAAACTTAGATGAATGACTACAGTCGGTTGTAACAAGTTATGACTAGATTCTTCCCATTTTAATCAAGTTTAGGCTAGATATCACATCAATGCCTTAGAGAAATTAAGGGAGTTGGAAGAGATTAAACACCATTACGCATTGAATTAAAAAGATTGTGGTGCACAAAGAAATATTAAAACTTCCTATATAGCTACTTCACTCCCTTACAAGAGAAAGAGTTAGCATGATACCATTCAGAAGTTTGATGTCCAGCTAAGATGACCCAATGGAGGCTGTTGGTAAGCACCTACTTGAGCCCCTGGAGCAGCTGAAGCAACCCCAAAACCAACATTGGCACCCATTGCAGGTTTAGATGGGGGTTTGCCATTGCGCCAGGCTGTGGAGGAGGATGATACAACCCCGAGAATTGCATGTGAGAAGATTGTGCAGCAGCAGCAGCATTAAAAGAAGCATGGCCTGTGTGAGATGGCATATAGCCGTGTGGTGTTTGTGGCATTGTAATATGCAGCAGATTGCATGTTTGGTAGCTCCCTCGGGTTCTGCATCCAGATCTGATGTGTCGCCTGTAGAATAGTAATGCAGTTAGCAATCAGGCAATGACCATCAAACTACCCAGGTGAAATACATAAGCAAAAATATATCACGACTCAATCTATAAAGAAAGTCAATGCTTATCCACAAGCACAAATAAAAACTATAAAACGTATGGGTATGGGTAAAAATATTTCTATTACTTTTTTGTCCATTACTTGTTAAATGTATCTTTATCATAATTCACATGTGGCGGCCATCCTCATTTATTGCAGCTCCTCATGCATCAATGAACATGGGTGCATTACGAAAAAATGGATGAAAAAGTATTGAAGTGGAGCCAAATCCATAGTTCACAGACCCGACTCAATAAAAAATTAAAGCAAACCTATGGTTAGATAATTCAGGGTTAACTACTCTGATATGATATTTAATTCAGATGCAAACATCGGTCACTTGGAAACTTGAATCAGGCATATCCTAGCAATTTATCTTTATAACGTGCATTAGTTTTACTCACAGATGGGAACTTTCTTTGAGTAGATAACTAGACCCCATGTGCTTTGGCAGACAAATTACACCATGAACCCAAACCCAGGTGGAACAGAACATTAAAGAACCCTCAAAATCTCAGAAACTAAGGCCTCAAATTTTTGTTTATCGGTAGCCAATACTCTAATGTATTAGAGTGAAGAACAATTATTACCTGTTGTTTTGAACGTAGATATTGCCATCTTTATATTTGGTCCGAGATGAATCTTCAAGATCTGTTGCACTCCCAACTACGCCAGGAGCATTGATTGCATACCCAGACGGACTGGTAAAATTCCAAACCAGTATGATTGCCTGCAGGACTGGTTTGAACTGTTGAATCCCATACTTGACGCCATTTGCGCCAATATGAGTGCTACCCCCTGACATGAGCAAGTAGCTGCTGCCATTAGATTGATGCGGAAAAGCAGGATTACTGGAATAACCCGGCATCGCCATCTGTGGCAGATAAATCGGGGAGACAAATTGACGATACGGCATAAGATTAGCAAAATGGGGCATGTGAACTTGAGGATACATCTGCGCTACTGGGTTGCTGCTGCTGCACCATGGGTATTGTTGATGCAGGGGTGTTGGCAGCATGCATGCTTAAGGCCTAAGTACCATTTAAAATTTTCATCAATTCAAGTGATGAAAACAGAGCCCTTTTGGGAATCAATACTACTACTTATATGCATGTTACTGGCACTAACCTCCTGAGGAGATAGTAGACCCTGCCCCCTTGCAGTTTCATCTACTGAGGGTCTAAAATATGGCAAATCATAACCAGTTTGGGGATCATATGCCTGCTATCAAGCCAACAACATAATATAAAATTACATTGCAAGGACCAATGAAGAAAAGGCTAATTATTCCCAAATTTTTTTTATAGAAGATTAAGCCTCATTAAAAACCCCCTTTTTCAACCTCCATGTTATAAAAGTAACATGAAGGACATGGAAAGGAGGAAAAGAGTGCCTAGAATTTATTAGATGAAACAAAGTACAACAAAGGCAGACCCTAAACATCTGCAAACACCACCAGAAATTACATAAAACTTAAACAACAGCTAAACATAGGAAATAAATTTTCTACTCCTCAATACAAGCAGACAGAAACCATTACATCACCCTATCCCATCCTTAGCTAATTGTCAGCTTCCCAATTATTCCCAAATTCAAAGTTACTTTATATCAGTTTCAGCAACATATAAAATTCATAAATACTAATTCAGTTATGACAAAAGTCACTGTTTACAAGATTATGCTTACCGAAAACCCAGGCAATTCAGGAGGATCTTGCTGCTGTTGTGACTCCAAAGGAGCATATGATTGACTGTTATCCTGGACCGTTACAATATCGGCATAACTACCAAGATTCTGGGGGCTTGAAGCATCCTTCTTATCAGACAATTGATGCTCAGATGCAGTACCAGATGTGGAGAGTCAGATCCAGAATTTCTAAGTTGATCATCTAAAATGCTAATGGGCTTGCCACAGCGGCATCATCACTGGAACTATCGGGAGGAGACACAGGCAAACTGTTAGAGCAAATAAAAGTAGAACATCACAGAAACTGGATCTTAACACAAGAATGAAATTTGAACCCTAGACTCAAATGTAAGTATTGGGAGAAAAGGACAACCTTACAGCAGATTCCCCATTGAGTCTTCTGCAACACCAGTGTCATCAAAACCAGGAATAAAATTCCTTGAAGAATCGTGTTCCACTCCAAAGCTGCCGAAGGTAAGTCGGTGGCGGTCATTCTCTGGGACACGAATGTGTTGTGCTATGATGACATTCTCATTCTCATGGATACTAACTTGAGAAAACTTCTCTTGCAATTAGCAGTTTCAGAATCCAAGTCCTTGGCATCATCACTAGAGGTGAAGCAAACTTCTTATGTGTTCCAATAACTCCAGGATTATTAACACTTGACTTTTGGCTTGATTTTGGTTTCCACTCTTTGTTAGATGGTTAGCTGCATCAAATATGAATGATAACTCTCACATAAACTTCAGAAATAAATTATAATCAAGTACTATAATAGCTACAACCTACTGACAGCCATTTGCTTAAAAAAATAGTTTAAAGCAATACCAGCTACGTCAATGGAGATGTACATAACTAGAATAAAAAGCTTCTAAGGTACATCAAGATGCACAGAAACTTGATATATAGTTTTATCACTGGTTAGTCGTCTCTTGCATCCTCAGATACTTAACTTTGACATACATAGATGTTCCTCGGGCTTTCAAAAGCTTAAAAATTAAGTGAGAAGAAAAGAGTACCTTTTTGATGAACTAAAACCTGTTGATGTTGCCTGCTCCATACGGATGCTCACAAATGACCTGCTTCCAGAAATACCAGATATGGCAGATTCAGCTGCACTACTATGACTACCCGGACCTCCCGATCTGCTCTGGAAATTGCAGGAAAAGGTTGAAATGCCTTTGATGAAGTGTCCCTCTCTACAAGTGAATTGGAAAGAGTATTTGTTCCAGATGAATCTTTGCCAGCATCTTCAGGAGGAGGATGGCAAACACCACCAGCCCCAACTTCACGCTTGATGGTTCCAACGGCACCAGATGATCTGGAATCAGGAGAAGGCACATGGACAGGATCCGTAGATGACGAATAAACCCCAACAAATTGAACTGCTCGATGATTGAGTGCCAGAATTTGCTTGAAAGGTATTGGGTTTCACTGCCTGTGACTGCAAAGCAGCATTAGGAATAAAATTCCGCTTTTCCTCTGATATTCTTTCCTAGAAACACCACCTGAATTTGCATCTCGGGATTGCCTGGCATGTGAACTGGATGGTGTGCTAGAAGTTTGAGATGAACTTTGAGAACCAAAGGGTCTCTGATTGTTTGGAGTTCCAGTCGAACTGCACAATGGTAATCAAAGGAGAATACTCAGTGTGCAGTATTCCATAAGAACTATATATCAGTAAATACATGCAAAGGGAACAAGAGAATAAATCAAGATTAGTGCAACACGCAAAACAGAAATAATAACTACTAAATAGCATACCCGTTTTCAGGAACATTCTTGGGCACTTGTTCATTTAAAGAAGTTGAGCATTGTGACAAAGGAGGCTTCATATCTTTATTGGCATTTTGATTAACTCTGTTATCCCTCACAACACGAAAACTCTCGATTGACGCCTGCATTACCAGGCAAGCAGTCGAGTATAGCCTCCTCTTCGAGAACCACGTTCAGGATTTGTACGAAATCTCATCCCATGACCAACATTTTCAGAAATTTTTCTAGGATCCATGTAACCTTGGTGCTCAGTGCTCTATCATAATGAAACAACAGTTCAGAAAAACTTTGTACATTAACCCTTCTAGAGGTTCACATTTCAAGATGCAACAAATAATATTCGAGGCATTAAGCCCATTGTCTCAATCTCTGAGGATACAAAATCAATAATATGCTTAAATATTATAGATAAATTAATAGCAAACAACATGAATACCTAAGACTTCAAAAAAAGAAGGAAGCACCTATCAAATACCGAGACTCTTTGCAAATCAACAGCCAAAGATTAAGATATACAACACAGTAGAACATGGCTCTCTTGCTAAAAAACGCAAATTAACACAGGAAAAATTAGCCAAAAATATTAAGATGATATACAAATTATACCTCTTTCTTCCGATCTCTTTTTCTCCTTACGACATGAAATGTATCTGAGAAGA